ACAAACTCACGACTAATTCAAATAAACATTTAACATCATTTTTTAAACTAATAAACTAAGGTATTAAGGGAGTAATATTTGCCGGCTGGTCGATACTATTTAATTTATCACCTTTTCTAACTATGTTGATTGGTCGTTTATAACTCGACATTTGATTTAAATTGTAAACTGCCTTTGACAAAAAAAAATATTAAAAACCTATACTCAATTTTTGTTGTTACGATTTTTAAATTTAAACATACCAAAATACATTAGAAAAAATAGTGGCATCAAGTGTGAGATAATAATAATATAATGTGTAAAGAAAAGGTTCAAACCTAATATTTCGACTGTATGAGTGATTTCCCTTGGTTCGTAAGTTCCAATTTGACAGACGTAATCCCCTGCATCCTGAGGTCCTGCTTCTTTGATTTCCAAGTTGTAACCGTTAATCAGGTTTATTCTTGGATCTGGAGTTACTTTGACATTGCCAGCAGATAAAACTGCAATTCCCTTCTTCCATGCGAGCACATATGGACCTGCAACACAAATATTTAAATTTCAAATATATTTTTGTTAAAATAAAGTAAATAGTCAAAATATTTTTTTACGTTAAAGCGTTTGGTTTAATCCATTAAAACAATTTAAATATAACATGTTATCAAAGAGAATTATTTTATATATTTATTGACATAAACCTATTTATTTTTGTTTAAAATAACATTTAATTTCGAATAAAATCCTATTTGTAAACACATGTTAAATTAAAAGTGCAATAAAATAATTTGGTGTGGTTTATTTGCTTTAAAATTAATTGCAGATTGTTATAAATTTAAAAAATTATCCCAGTTGGCATTTAGTTGTGCATGTACTGTTACCGCACTAAATTTATTATTTTAACTAAATAATCAGTGACATAAATTATTTAATAAAATATTATAATTTTAATTAAATTATGCCAACTGAACAAATATTTTATAATTACACGTATTTTGTATTTATACGGGTCGTAATGCAGATATGTTAGTTAATATTTTTAAATTAACTACTTAGTAAAATATTATTATTAGCTAATTTTTTCGCCTCCTTAAAATATTTTTATAATGTAGGTATAACTTTTCTAATCAAAGAGTGTGCTTTGCATTATAGTTTTTACTGTGAACGAGATATCAGAAGGGCTTTCAGTTATCCGTCAATAGTATATTTGGTGCAAATAATTCTGGGGCCAAATAACACTGATTGACAGATTGATCGCAAACTTTGCTTAATAATTAATTACAGTTGTGTCAACTCACAGGATACAAAAATATGCGGAATATGCATAGACATTACAAATATTATATTTTCTTAGCTTAACTTTATATTATACATGAATGAACGCTAATTACAATAAAAATTATTTCGAATATAATCTTTAATACAATTTACATTCATATTTAAAATATAAGTTTTATAAACGACACCCCAGGCACGACCTAGTGTTTAAAAACGAGTGTCTAGAAAAATTTATAAAACAAATTGCATACTTTACTTTTCTAAGAACACTTTATTTTAATAAAGAACCAAATAATGTGACAATTGACAAGTAAAAACTATTTTACTGTTAACTTCAGCACGTGACTAAAAAGCCCGAAACATATTTAAAACGCACAAAGTCACAGCCTGTCAATATTTATTTAAAAGATCAGCGTCCTAAAAACATGTACGATAATGGGCATTATTAGAAAATAGAATAATATGTATCAAGTTTGATAAACGCCATTTTAGACACAAGCGATCTTGCGAGCAAGTGTTTAATTAAACATGTGCCTAGAAAAATTTATATGTAAACGAGCTGGATACTATACTTTTACTACAAATAATACCTACTTATCTTAATAGTATATTATGTATCAACTTTGATAAACGCCATTTTAGACACGAATTTAATTTAATGAGTGTCTAGAAAAGTTTATAAACGAGTTGCATACTATACTTTTTCTACGACAAATACTTATATTTATCAAAAAAATTATTTAAATTAAGTATTTGTATATAAATCAAAGTGTATCCCTTAAAAATGAATTAAACAACAGTTTTTCACAGTGAAATTGAAGAAAATGTTTTATTACCACTTCACGGTGGAGTCCAAGACCGACTTTAAGTTATATCTAGTTTACTGCCGGTGAAATTAGAAGGTCAGTACAATGTTCATATAAACTTTTTAAATATTGGCGTTGAGAAACTATTTAATGGTTTTGTATTTTTGTATTGAGATAATAAAATAATTTTTACATTTATTATTATTTTAGAAGAAGGGCACGATTGTATGACATTTGACAACTGTCAACTAACTTAAAGCTAACTTCAGCCCGTGACTTAAACGCCGTAAAGCCACAACTTTTCAATGTGTATTTAAAAGGTCACTTAATTTTATAAATACATGTACCCTAATGGGCGTTTTAAAGGTGGGAGTACAAAACATAATTTAAACTAAATATATGTATAGAGAGACATATATAAAACAATAGACTAACCAACTTGGGAATCTGTAAAATAGCCGGTAAAAATTTGTAAGTGTAAATTGAAATGTATCCCTTAAAATGGATATAGAAGCAGTTTTTCACAGTGAAAGTAAAAAAAAATGTTTATTTAGCATTTCAGATGGTAACTAAAAACCTGTTACTAACCTCACCCGTGACCAAAAGACCATAAAGCCACAACTTGTCAATGTGTATTTAAAAGGTCACTTATTTTAATGGGAACATGTACGATAATGGGCATTTTAAAGGTGGGAGTAGAAAAGTATGTTAAACATTTAACATTTAGTAATACTAAAGTGTATTTAATATATTTTAATAAAATCTTCATTTATAAAATTTAGAAATAATGGACTAAGGGTTTAAAAAATAAAGGATAACAATGTATTAATTAAAGCAAGTTTTTGCCTGACCATCATTTAATAAAGTACAAATAAAAAAGGGGAAAATGCCTAATATAATTTATATCTTGATTCTCGCAAAGTCAGCCGTAAATTTTTTTTTGGTCGAAAGGTAAATTTATGAAGTTCATTATTTCCCAAACAAGTCGTAGAAGCATGTTAGGAGTTGGTTCCAGAAGGAGAGAAACATAGAGCCCAATTAAAGAGATGAGTTATGTTCATAATCTGGATAAAAACGAACTTTTTAAGCACGGTGTTTTTAAAGCGGATAGAATCACAGTTTCAATTTACTTTAGTTAAAAAGTTTATAGCAAAGAATAAGAGAATGTAAAAAAGTTTTATGAATTACCTTAGTTAAACCAAAAGAAAGTTTATACTCATCATGTATAAATGTCAAATTTGATGAGCTCCGACAAGTGGTAACTCAGAGAAAAGTAATTTTTTTAAAGAGGTTTTTGTTGAACAAATTATGTTAAAAAGTATTTTTTATTTAATATAACTGATGTAAATAAAAATAAAAAGTTGGTTATCGCTAAAAGTAAAACAAATTGTTTGCAAATAAATTTAAAACTTTATATTTAGTGTGTTCAGTTCTGGGTAAACTATTATTTTGTGTTATATGCTATGCAATATATTTGGCTGATTCTCAAAAAAAATCTAAATTTATGTCCTTGCTGATTCCTGTGAAATGGGATCCTAAGTTATGGTTAAGTTAGATTTTTTTATGAAACTACATCACTAGCCGTACCAAATTATGAAACATTTATTTATTTTATCATAAATAAAAAATATATGTTTAAGTAAATACCCTAAAAATCCTTTCCTCATTGTGTCCCAACCGCCAAATTCAAATAGATTTACAAATATAATTTGAAAAGTTTCGTATAAACTATCAGCTATCATATTATTTATTTTCATATAATAGTACTGGCTGTACATAAATGTATATATAGTTTAGAAACCGCAAACGGAAAAAGCACAAAATATATTTTTAAATTTGTCCTTAAAAAACGAATCATTTCCTCACAGTTGTGTAACAGTGGGATTGGAACATAATTTTAAAGTATATTGAACACAGCCTTATTGTTTTCAGAAGTTGGCAATATTGATACTAAAAAAATATGACAGACTGAACTGTCAGTGCTGAGATTTTTTTTTAAATCTGTATTAAAGAAAAACTTTTTCGAATTTAAATTTTTGGCCGTCATTTCCTCACACTGTATTGTAAAAAGGTAAGCGCTTATTTATGTACCAATTATCATATATTTGTATGCGTTTCTGGGAGTAATAAAGTATCGTACAATCGCATGGAAAAGTAAGGTTATGTTTCCTATTTTTGTGCCATAATGTTTCATTTTGTCATTCCCTCATCGTCATTCCCTCATACAAATTTTTGGTGAGGGAATGACGAATATGTGAGGTAATAACATCCTAACTAATACAGGGTGTTTTACGTTCGTGGTCCATTAGAAGTTTATGGGAAACGGCAAAATATATCGATTTGAAATTTTAAAAACGTTTTTAATTCAATTTAGACTATTTTTTAAAATGCCATTTTTAGTTTTACCGAAAATGGCATTAACCACAGATGAATTATACCTAACTATGTTATTTCAAACAGAACACCCTGCATATTTTTACATTTTTAATTTGTGAAGAGATAGAGATATGTATACAGGGTGTCCCACAATTAGTGCGACAAAATGAAGGTGTATTATCTACAGACCCCCAGTAATTCCAGAAAATTGTTTAAAAAATTCTTCCTTCATTATTTAAAAAGATACAGGGGAGTCATATTTTCTTTATATGGCAACAATGCTTCAAAAAAAGGGGATAGTTTAATTCTTAATCATCATGTTAAAATTGTTGTTTATTGTCATGATGATTAAAAATTAAACTATTACTTTGTAGATATAGGTAGATAGGTCTAGTTTATGGACCAAAGAGTAACATGACTATAACTAACTGAAATTGATAAATAAATCTAAATTATATTTGGTTTGTGGATGGGTTAATGTTGAAACGACCCGGGGCAAAATATGTTAATAAATGCAAAAGGGTTATGGTTGCTTGACTTGTTTTAGGTTGCCATACGAAAAAAATGGCAAGAAATAAGAAATTAACGGAGGTAGAAGCTAAATTAAAGAAAAAAGAATACGATAGAAAGCGAAGGGAAAAAACAAAAGGTTGTGCTAAAACTTTAGAAAAACTTCGAGAAAAAGAAAGACTTAAATATTTACTGAAAAAAGAAAAAGGTCAAGTAAAGCTTGTAGGTGATATGAATTCAAGAGAAAAACGACAAAAAAGAAAACAATGGAAATTAAATAGTTCAGTTTATAGAATTAAAAAAGCGAATTTACGTAAAAATCTTAGATTACTGGATGAAACGCCACCTGCTAGCCTAGCACCATTTGCAGAACCTAGTATTCAAAACAATTCTGTTAATAGAGATGCTATAGCTATGCGAAGACGACGTCTGCTAAGAAATCGTCGAGCAATAATGTATGCCAAAATAGCTAATTTAGAAATAAAACTAAAAGAAGAGGTTAAGAGAAGAGAGAAATATCGGAAAAGGTGCGTAAGGATGAATAAACAAAATAAAACATATTCACCTGAGGCTAAAGTGACAAAACTTTTAAAGAACATAAAGGTGCCTGAAATTGTTAAAAAAAAGCTTCTTTTTTCTGAATTACTTACCAAGGAACTAACCCAATCTTATAATAGAATAAAAACCCACAAAGGAAAACAGGAGTACTACAAAAATTTGAAGCTAGATCTCTTAAAAAAACGCAGATTGTTGCATTTGTCTAAGCCCTTTTTTAAAAATCAAAACTACAAAAAAAGAAATTGTAGGAAAGTAAAGTCAAAAATGTTAACAGTAAAGCAAGACATTATCAATTTTTTGGAGAAAGATGAAAATTCTAGAATGTGTCCAGGAAAAAGGGATTTTGTCAGATTAGGAAAATTAGTGAAGCAAAAGCGCCTGCTTACTGATAATATGCGCAACTTGCACAAACAATTTTTGATTTCTGTCACCTACAAAATAAGTTTGTCGACATTCTGCAGGTTTAGGCCATTTTGGGTTACTTGGGCGAACATCAAGGAACGAGACACTTGCAAATGCGTCGTTCACGCCAATATGGAGCTCATTGTTTCTAAATTACATGAGCATAAGGCACTGCTGCATAACAACATACCAAGACTGCTAACAGCTATAACATGTGATATTTACTGTGCTAAATGTTTATTTAGAGAATGTGTTACATGTAAGAATAAGACCATACAATATTTCCTTCCACTACCAGATAAAGTGGTTATTTATAAGCAATGGATGTATCAAAGTTCAACATATGAAAATAATGGTAAAATGAAAACAGTGCGTAAACCTATTAAAAAAGAAATAACTATTTCTCTTAAAAAACTAGTTTCTATATTAGAAGATACATTGCAATCATTTTTGATACATGCTGGAAATATTGCGCACCAGTATCAAACAATAGCACAGTTAAAAAAGAATTTGTCAGAAAATGACGTGCTGATTCATATTGATTTTAGCGAAAATTATTCCTGTAAATATGGGGAAGAAATTCAAGCAGTTCACTTTGGCGGTGGTAGGCAACAAGTAACGCTTCATACTGGTGTATTATATTTAAGAGACCTTAATAATATTGTCAAAGCACAATCTTTTTGTACTCTCTCTGGTAATAATCGACATGACTCAATGGCAGTGTGGGCTCATCTAAAACCAATATTCGATTGGCTAAAAGATAAAAGACCGAATATCCACACCGTACACCTTCTAAGCGATAGTCCAGTAAACCAGTACAAGAACAAGTTTATGTTCCATGTTGTCTTTCACCATTTAAGATATTTTTTTCCTGGTATTACATATTTTTCTTGGAACTATTCAGAACCCGGCCATGGTAAAGGAGCTCCAGATGGTGTAGGTGGTACCTTGAAAAGGTCTGCCGACCAAGCTGTCGCTGAAGGAAAAGACATAACAGATTTGACTGTGTTAAAAGACGTTCTGGTTTCAAAATGTCCATCAATAATGCTTATTGAAATAACCACTGCAGAAATTGATAAAACAGACAATTTAGTTAAAGAATCCGGTCCTGTTTCCACTTTTCGTGGTACTCAAAAAATAAGGCAATTTGTTTTCTTGGATGGTATGCTCGAGTTTAGAACGCTTTCATGTTTTGACTGCGTTAGAAAATGCCAACATTTTCACCTCGGCTATTACAAAGCTCGTAAAACTTTGGATAAAAACATAACTTCAGTAGCGATGCGACTTCAAAAAGCTAATTCTAGGGCACAAATTTTAAAAAATGACCTCCCAGCAAAAGATATTTTCGTATATAAAGTTGGTGATCATGTCCTTGTAAGATGGGATAGCAACGTTTACCCGGGTGAAATCCTTTCAGTATGCAATGATGGAGCTTTAATCAGATGCATGATAAAGGCATCAAAATGCTGGAAGTGGCCCGCAATGAAGAACGAGCAACTCTATGCCTGGCATGACGTCCTTCAAATAATTGAACCTCCCAAAATGCTTAAAAAAGGTTGTTACTTTGTGGAGAAAATAGATAAGCAATAACTAAAATCGGAGAGAAAAAAAATTAGTTCATTTACGTTCTTTGTTTGATTATATTTTTAGGGTTAATATTTTTAGAGCGAAAGCTGAACCTTTATGATTATAAATAAATAAAATTAAAATTGTTATATTACTATAGATTGTAAAAAGTAGATGTTTTGCAATAAAAAAAGTCAATTGATTTATTTGTTTTTTTAAAGCCAAATAAAAATCATTCCCTCACGGAACTATCATTCCCTCATTTTTGAACATTATTTTTAACCCCTTACTCCTTTTTAAACTCAAAAAAGTTGGGGACCACTATAACGTTTTAGACAATTGGGCCATATACCATCAAATTTACAAAAGAAACTTCATAATAATTTAAAAAATATAACATCAATTTAATCGAGTCATTTTTATTAATTTTTTGAGAAGCAGCCATTTATTTAAATCAAATTTATATGTACGTTTGAAAAAGTTTAAATTTGATTTTTCTACCCTATATAACGGCACAATTTGCCGGATTCTGTGGATATAGCGTAACGAAAGCACTGAAATAAGAAGCAAAATAATAAAAATTATGAACCGAATAAAAATGTGAATTGAAATGGATACATGAAAAGGCTTTTTCTTTTAAAGTACTGAGTATATTTATCATACAGCAAAATTAAGTTTTAATAAAGATTTGTACACTATAAAACCTAATTTAAGGATATGAATTATTAAGCGCCACACCTTTATAAATGATTTAATCATACTAGAATATATTTTCATAACCTTGAAACTTTCTAAGTGTGTTAGTCGAACAAGAAAGGCTTTGCCAAATTTTATAAAATTTGCAAACTTTTTAACCAGTGTCCTTTTAACTGAAGTTGTTTCGTCCCCTAAATAATAAAACTTTGGTCTTGTTGTTTATATTCTCCATGACAATTACCGTTCTGAGACGTCTCATTACGTAAAAAAACTTTTAATACAGCTGATACTTATCCGGGGAACAAATTCTAAAGGGAATAAAAATGTGTTTCTTACTCATTAAATCTTTATTTTCTTGATTAATTAAAACATTTTGTTTATGATGGATTGAAATAATGTTTAATAAAGTAAAAATTATAAATTTAATATAAATCTTAAAAACAAAAAAAGACAAACGGTATTTTAATTGGGAAATCTTAGTAGTCAATAGAACTAAAAAAAATATGAAGAAAAGTTTATATAAACTTGTATGCTTTAAAGCTTTGTTTTCGAGATACTGGGTGTTAAAGATAATAACAAAAAGCCTGGTAGCGACACTGCTTTTATATGATTTTGGTAACATCTTTAAAATTAAGCAAGATAGAGAAAAAATCTTGCTTAATTTTTAAGAAACAATAAATTCTTTATCCGCTCGTGACTATAATTTTTTGAGGGGCGAGCAAATAAACCAATTTATTTTTATTAAAAATTAAGATACAGGTTTTTTATATTTTTCCATCAACTAAATTTTTTCGATTTAATCTAAGCCAACCTATATACACTGAAGGGACGAGCTATACAAGACTCTCTTTTCCAAATCAACAAAAATATTCCATAATTGTCACTGACTTCCTATAAGTTCAATCCAAGAATTGCAAAAAATCTTTCCACGTCCAATCCAATAGACACCAATATGAAATCAAAAATTCACAGCTTCTTCCAAAAAAACATTAAGGTAAATTTAGTATGGGTCCCATTACATACAGAAATTCCAAGGAACAAATCTGCAGATCAATCAATCAATCCATTGATGCCTGGAAAAATATTGAAGCCATATCAAACCTCGAACCTCGAACTAACCTATGATGACCTTAAACGATGACAAGAGTGTTGGAAAAATCAAACCAATAGTAAGCTTTATAAAATTAAAAACAATGTATCCAGAAAAGTACCACTTCAAGGAAATTGTATTTAGCAAGTTGTTATGACTCGCCTCTGCATAGGGCACACACAAATAACACATGACTCCCTTATGAAACAAACTCCACCACCAAAGACCCCCATGGGGTGTTTTATCTTTAGGGTAAACCACTGGTTTTTAAAAATTAAAAATTGCATACGAATGACTAAGGAAAACAATCACAAGGTTAGCGTCGCTAAAAAAAATTTCCTTATTGATAAAGACTGATAAGGAATATAAGGTTAAACGTTGGTCTCGCTGATTTAAAAGTGGTTTACACCTTGGTTATTTTAACTGTTAAATCAAATGTCCACTGTACGATATAGGAAGACAGAACAATACTGAAGATGACCTGAAGACCGTTCTATCCATAACTGTTTTCTCACATTTTATTGCTGATACTATTGATAATCGAGGGTAGGTGGATGTTGTGTACACGGATTTCTCGAAGGCCTTTGACACAATTGTACATAATATTTTAATTAACAAACTTGGTTTATTTGGACTTTCAGATTCGTTAATTAAATTAATATATAATATAATATATTATAATAAATATATAATTATATTTGAATAATCGTAAATTATATGTTTCGTATCAAGAGTTTAAATCAAAATGTTTTGTGGCTACCTCGGGTACCCCAGGTGTCAAACTTGGGACCTTGTTTCTTCACTAAAAACTCAAAATTTACTTTTCTCTGACGATTTAAAGTTATATCACACTGTACGAGATGTTAAAGACTGCGAGCTTCTTTAGTCAGATCTGAACTTAATTCAGCTGTGGTGTAAGGAAAACTCCTTAGGCCTAAACATATAGAAATGTGAAGTTTACTCGTTTACTCTTAAACTTAATTCAATTAGATTTACCTATAATATTGAACATATCTCATCTTAGAATTCTTTTTGATAGTAAGTTTAGGTTTGTAAATCATATTCAAAATATTTGTAACTCTGCTAATAGGGTTCTTGGTTTTATTTATCGAAACTGTAAATCTTTAAAAAATATTTTTGCATTAAAGTCACTATACTTCAGTTTAGTTCGTTCTAAACTTGAATATTGTTCAAATGTTTGGTATCCTTATGAGAATCACTGCAAATCACTTGAAGCAGTCCAACGTCGATTTTAGAAAATGTTATATATTAAAAAACACAATACTTATCCAGAGAGGGGATATGAATACAATATGTTATTGCAGGAATTTAATATTATTAGATGTTAGGAAGAATATATTTTCAATTAAATTTTTATACAAACTTGTCTATAATAAGATTGACTGTCCAGATCTGCTTAAGCGGTTGAATTTTCATGTTCCGAGTATTTATTCTAGGTCAGTTTCAACCTTTAAATGTTTTGCTAGCACAAATGTACTATTGCGGTCGCCAATGCTTGTTATGTGTACCAACTTTAATAAAATATCCCACGTGTGTGATATTAACTATTGTGAATTGTCGTTTAATATTTGTACTTTTTTAAGCATTAATTGGTTTATTTTTGTTTATACTTAATTTACTAATGTATAAGTTATTTTATATTTTTGCTGTTATGCTGTTGCTATTGTTTTTTTTTTTGTTCTTTCTCCTGATATTGAAATTTTTTCTGTTGGGCAAATAAATTTTCTATTATTATTATTATTATTATTAATATTATTATAAGTCATTCAATTCCTCCAAAGAACTGGACTATGTTTTGTAAAGGTATACAAAATTAATAAACTATACTAAATACTAAAAAATAAAATATTATACCTTAAAATAAAATAAAAAGGCAACAAAATTTAATTGTAAAACATAAATTTGGACATGTGTAGGAAAAAGCTTAATGGAACTGTTGTTTGATCTAAATTCATATTTCATAGAAAAACTATGCGAAAAACAAACAGCAATTACCGGTTTAACTTTTTCTTTTTCGAATAATTTTCTCTAAAGCTCGGTCGACGTAAAAACTTCTTGATATTAAATTCGAAATTTAACCGGAAATGCATGTTGCTCGAACGCGCACAAATTTTTGAGCATTTGCCAATACCATTTATAGAAGGTACTTTGCTTGGATTTATCCCATATTTCCTGTACAGCTTAAAAGTCAATTACGCATTTTTTTCTTTACTTAAATTTACATACATATTCCATATTTTTTACAGTGATGTATTTTTGTCAACTACATGGAGATAAGTGTTTTGGGAATGGTTACTAAAAAATTCAATAAATTGGGGACCGCTTTAATATTTTAGAAGTTAGCGCTTTTGTGTTTAGTAATGATTCCAAAACTCATTTAGTTACTATGTATGCGCTGTTTGGCAACAATTACTTAATAAAAAAGTAGAAATTATCAAATCTATGATAATTAGATTTTTATTACATAGTACGTACATAAAGAAGAGTTAAATAGAAATAATAAACTTTATAATAAACTTTAAATAAAAAATATACATACACAATTAAATAATAAATTAAAGATATTTATTTCCTATAGGAAATACCGCGCGAATGGCATAACGCATAAATGACATAAATGCATAGCCGACTACATAAAAAAATATTACTGGGGAGTTGCTTCCAATATTTTTTGTAATCATATCCAAACTTTTTTTATTGAATACTAGAAAATTATAATTATGTAGTATTCATAATAATTAATATATTAATTATTAATATATAAATTGTTGTGAACAGATTTAATATAACCTAGGGTATTTCCATTGTAACGGGTGCGACACTGACACTGCGTTTTTTTCATGATAATACAGTGTTTGTTCAGATACGTTAATATACAAAAATAGAATAAAAAATTAGATATTTAACTTAAATAAAACGTCAATAAAAACTTGTATAGAAAACCTTTTATAACGCCATGAATCGCGTAACGGGCGCGACATTAAAAAATCGGCAAATGCGACCAAGTTGGCTTCCAAAGTTGATCCTGTAAAATTTTGGATGAAATCATATAGTAATATTTTTTTGTGTAAAACACGTAAAGCACGTATTTTAAATGCACAAATATTTTATACTTTATTTTCTAAAATTTTCTTAAAATCTAACGCGTCTTTTTATCGAGTATCATAACTCTTCCGTGTTTATTCTTAAAGCCACCTTCTTAGCATTACAATGTACA